CTGTGCGCAGGGCTCGCCCCCCCTCGGCCCGGCCCCAGCCCGCCCCGTCACGCCGCTCCCCGCGGGGAGATGTAGTCCGAGAACTACGTCAAGTCCGGGCCAGCCACACTTCCTCATCTTCCTTCCGAAGGGCCTTCCGCGCAGTTCATGCAGGGGCTGGCAGGGCACCAAGGGCTGTTGGCGGCACCGAGCAAGGCAGCAGTTGCTGCATTTCCCCCCCGCTCCGCCAGGGGCCGAGGGGAAAGGATGTTATGGGTTTCCTTGCCATGGGGTTTGCTCGGAAATGTAGCCCCTCTAAACTGGCCAAGCATTGTGCCGAGCGCATGCCTGGCTTGGGGGGTGCTACGGATGCGGCTCTTTGCCTGGCCAGCAGCACCAGGAGGGCGTCGGGAACATTGGGAAGGTGCCCTGGGAGGGCGAGGCGGGTGCCAGGGTGGGTAGTGGCTCCCCGTCCCTCTTCGTTCACGCCAGGCTGGTGAGGAGGGGGAGTTTCAGAGCCATGGAGGGGCCCAGTGAGGGTTGCCCTAAGCGGATTTAATGAAAGCCGGTCTCTGCTCCTCAGTAGCCCAAGGGAGCAGACCAGGACTCAGACACAAATTCAGGATGGATGGTGAAGGTGCCTCTCTGGACTCCTCCGGCCTTCTTGAAGTGGCTTGAGTCCCATCTAGGAGAGGAGATAAACATGGCGATTTGAGCTGCACAGAGGAAAAAATGAGGAAGAAGTGCAGGAAATCCGTTCTAGGGCATCCAGGGACATGCTGCTTTGGCATGTGCCTTTTATGGGCACAGAGGCCACAGCAAAGCCCGGGCAGATGACCTTGGGCTTGGTCTCCACAGCATTGCAGTCCCCCACAGTGGGCTCACTGCCTGCAAATGCCACCTTTCCCTGCCCCTCCGTTTTCCTAAAAACATGATTCTTTGAGCTGTATAGATCCACGGGGACCTGCCTTTTTTGGATTGGATGGTGGGAAACACCTCACCACAGCTTAACAGTGGGGTAGGCAACCCTGGCATTCCCTGTCAGTTATTGTTGTCATTTGGGTTTAGCTCCTGCTCTTGTGAATTTAAAGCCAATTGTGTGTTTTCTGCAAGCTCCCAACGTGGGTCCGTGGGGGTTGGTGCTGCAGCAAAGCTGTGGCATGACCGGGCTGCTGCCTCCTCCTGCCCACACTGCCCTGAGGCCAGGAAGGAGCTGGCTCTGCAGCACCCGCATCCTGAGTGTAAACACACCGGGATCAACAGGCGCTGGGTGAAGAACAGGCTGAATTGCCAGGTAAAGAGCAGCAGCACGAGGAAATGGGGCCCTTGGAGGGTGACACCAAGAGTCACTGCTGTTGCTGCTGCTGCTGCTGAGTGAGCAGCCCGGGGCCTGGTCCCCAAATCAGGGAGCTGCTCGCTGGAACAGGAATTTGGTGGCTTTTTCCCCCCCCAGACGAGCTCCCGTTGCCTGTCTCAGCTCCCCACTCTGCATACTTAGGGCTCGTATACAGGCAGGATGGCTGCGGGCTGCATGAAAGTGCATAGCACGTTACTCCGGGGCTGGACTGGCAGTACGGGATATTCCTGCAAGAGACAAGCGGGGACCAAGTCAGCGCAGCTCTTGTGGGCCCGGCGTGTGGGCCAGACCCCGGGCACACTCGTCCCCACCACAAGGAAGAGGAGGGTGGTAGCCTGCCCGCCCCCCTCCCAACCTTACAGCCCTCTCCGCCAGCGGGTGGAGGTGCCGGGTGGTGTCCGGGGGCCCGATGTCGCCATAG